ACACACACATACACACACAACGATCTGATATTCAGATACATGTAAAGGACAATTTATGGAGTGAATCTATATAAAAGTAGTAGAAACAACAATGGACGAAAGAAGGAGATGAGGAGACTCACAGGAGCCAATCCACGGCCAGGATGAGAGTGACGTCTCTCGTGGGCAGCTGGAGGGCGGTCAGCACCAGGAGCATGGTCACGAGGCCGGCGCTGGGAACGCTGGCGGCTCCGATACTGGCTGCTGTGGCCGTCAAGCTGTCAATCAAAGGTCACGTGTTGTGAGGTACAGTAAGATGGTGAAAATTTCATTACATATTAAATACATAATATATCTGAAAGTTTAAGTTCCTCCTTCTTCCAATACCTTCCAACCAATTAACAACAATGAAAAGGCGATAAAATGTTAGTAAAATAGCTGTTAATGAATAAATGTTAGTAACGTATAGTAAGGTTTGTAAAGTGTAGCTTATGAATGTATCTCTACTGCCTTTTGATTACTTTAAATTCTAAATTATACATCTAATGAATGCTGCGACTGTATGCTGTGTCTTGCAACAACGACGTGACTAAATAAACCATTCATTCTACTTTTCTTCTATTTAATTATATGGAATATGGAACACCGACCATGACACTTTCTGTGAGCAGTGATACTGAAACTACAAACTACACATTCTAAGAGACAAAAAACATGAGAGTTAAACTGTCACCTGCACGTGATGATCTGACCGATGTCCAGCGACATGTCGTTGAGCTGGGCGATAAAGATGGCGCCCACGGCCTCGTACAGGGCGGTGCCGTCCATGTTGATGGTGGCGCCCACCGGAAGTACAAACCGAGTCACGCGAGAATCCACGTGGTTGTTCTCCTCCAGACAGCGGAACGTGATGGGGAGCGTGGCGGCGCTGGAGGGCAGATGGACATAATTTTAAAAAACGAACAGATCTATAGAAGCTCTATGAACTTTATGCCTGAATGGGACTATGTTTTAAGAGGTATTAATGATGCCATATATATCAGAGCACTCCAGCCATCACTTAACAGAGACGGTGGACGATATAAACTCCCTGGCACTTGTGATTAATTGCTGACATCACGTATCCGTAAAGTCTCGCGTGAATAAGGTCAAGTGCCTGTAACCGTAACTCTCGCGAGATTACGTTTTGAAGTGATTGGTCATTAATTATCCTGATGAAGGCGACAGTGATCGTTAAAAATTGACCTGTTGGAATAAAGTTCAACGTTTTACTGCATTGCCATGAGAATGTTATATACTTCACAGAAGCAGCATCACATATGAAACATAGACAATGAAGCGTGTACAAAGTTGCGTTATGATTATAACCCACCTGGAAGCAGTACCGAGAGCAGTGATCCAAGCCTGCAGCATACCTCCATAGAACCAGAGCGGGTTTTTACGAGTGACGACGAAGTAGAGAGCGGGCAAGACGAAACACCCGTGGACGATCAGTCCCAGCATCACCGTCAGCATGTACATCCCCAACATCCGGGCTACCAGGGCCAGGTTCTCGATCTCCAGGATCTTGCCGATGATGAGGCTGCCGATACCGATGGGGGAGTACCTGGGAACGAGATTGGTGTCATGACGGTCAAAGTCTCGCACGATCTCGGACAATATCGTGTGATTTACCAGTAACGTTAAGTGTTGGATTCACCAATAACGTTGCCTCTATGCACATCGGATGTTTGCTATACTTCGTACTGGAATATCCAGAGACAAAACTGTATACCATTGAATGAGCAATATATAAGATGTCATTTCAGATCAACACAAACAACAAAATCTCACCATTCCTTTACACATGGTGTCAGCGGTGGGATTGCACGGTATAGACAAGTCAGAAACGAAAGAGAGAATATAGGATTTCATGCTTAGGCTAGTAAGATCTTCAAACTTACCACATGACTCCAAGAACGATCCTCATGGTGACGTCGTTCAGGTTACTGAAGAACTGCAACATGACGTTTCCTTCTTTGCCCATTTTACCGAGCACAATCCCAAACACGGCACAGAACGCGATCAGTCCTGCAAATGTCAAATCCCCATCATGAAGAGTAAGAATCTTTCTCAGTTAGTGAAAGGGTGTGAAAGTTTCGATACGACAGTAATGTATTTACATGTATATATTGCATTGTGAATATGAAATCAGACAATACTGCAGAACATTCATTATGAAAACAAAGTCATGTGCTCATACATGTATATTGTGCAACCATCAAAGGCATGATTACAGAATGTTTGGCCCTACCTAGAACGTTGGTCCCGTCTGTCTTATCGAGACTACGGTAGATCTTGGTCTCCACCAGGACTTCGAACGGCTCTGACGTGGAGGTGATGTTCAGTCCGTCGGTGTTGTTCGTCGTCGTGTTGGTGACGTTGGCGTAGACGTATTCTTCCTTGTACGCCGTTTGTTGCTGAGGACAAAACAAGTTGAGGGAAACTCGAGTCAGAGAGAATTAAGTGCCAAGATATAAACATCAGTAACTAAGAAGAAGAAGATAAAATGCCAAGATATAACCATTAGTAACGAAGAAATAAAGTATTGATTTCATGATAGCAATGACTAAATGGAAATACTCACGCCAGAGATACAGGCCTCCACAAGGTTTTCCGGAAAGGCATTCCTGGAATTAAAAGTGAATACATTTTTACACACCAGAAATTTTGCCTGAAACAATCTCATGAACACATCATGGACAGTTCTCGCAAGCAAACTTCTTGAAGGTCAATTGTTGGTAGAGTTGCAAAAAAAGAACTTCTGAAAATGCTGGACTTGAGACGCTTTCAGAGATTTGGCCTTGGTTCAAGGTGAACATGGCGAGGTAGATCAAGGTAGATCTAGAAGGAGCCAACAAAAAGTCACAAGCAGCATCCATCTTCTATGTTAGCAAGGCATTGTAGATTGATAGACTATGCATCCTATTGACTTTGAACGATGGTAATATTACGACAGACAGACAAGCATGACGTTCGGCGCCATTTCCTATCTCTAAAATAAATACTAGCTATTTCTTAGAATTTTTCCAAACACAATAGCAAAGTCTAGATGTATACTCAAAGTTTTCGAAATAACCATAAGAAGAACCTATACTTTAACATGAAGTTTAGGATTACTGTTTCATTTCATTTTCAATGACTCAGCTCGACACCTTTTGTGTCTCTGCTATGTATGATTATGGGTCACAATGAGACTTTTTCATAAAAGGAACACCTGCACTCGAGAAGATGGTCATATGGAGTCATCTCGTAAGCAATCCTTAATAGAATATGGAAGGACATCTTGTTTGGCATTTGCATCAAGCCAACGTTAAGGCTTCAAAGGATTTCATATGTCATTTCCCTTTTTCAAACAGGCCTGCTGTATGACGATTGATACATGTCCGGAGGCAGTCTTGCATTCTATGGGCACATCCATGCATTGTGAGCATAGCTTGTTATCCAGACCCCATACATCGTATCATAGACCGAGGAAGTCGATCCATCTTCACTTTGTTGACCTTTGAAAAATCATCTTGCACAAAAGTAAGGCTGAATAACGGCAACCCGTGACTCTTTGGAGGAGTGTGGCCATATAGGATGGAGAATAAAGATATTCATTCACGTCCCAAAGGAACATAAACCTCCAAAACAAGAGACACCCAAGAGCTGCAGATGAATAGAATGTTGATTTTACGTCTTTGCTATTGCTGTTGTTTGTATTGTACCACATATTTGTGCACCAATTCCTATGGTGCATTGTTTTGTCAAATCACCATTTTGAAGTTTGAGTCACAGTCTATTTCCACCACAAAACGTTTTGATGGTCCTTCCAGTGATACCACATAAGTTAACCTCATATGATTTTACGTTATATATTTCCTCACATATTGTATCATATTCAATTGCCCATGACCTCTGACCTCCAAAACAGTATATCATTATCTTGATTGAATACTTTTATTATGCTTTGTACTTAAGTCTGATTTTAGCTTAATGTCGTACTTGTTAGTTTACTGTATTAGTATGTTATATTGTGTATGTTTAATCTTTGTATTGTTTGGCACCCGAAATCAGCCATGCTGCCTGGGTGGCCAATGTATTGTCTTGTTACAATTGAATTAGAATTAAAAAACAAGTTGGAGTCACAAGAGTTTGCTAAATTTTAAACGTTTTCCTGGCCACCCTTGTACTTTCCAAATGGTTCTGTCCCAACCCCCATTATACGAGACAGATGTTCTCATACTCTGCTGCTGTCCGGACTCTTGGCATATCTGATGACTCCCGACTTTAGAAGAACCCCTCTGACGCAAACAGCGACTGAATAGTCGGTAATGGAAATTTTCGCCCGAGGCTACGACCAAGCTCTCATTTGTCAGCTTCAGCCCGCCTCAGTGGATCCAACCAGCGTAGGTATACGTAGCTGGTAGACCTGATGTTCTTTTAGCATGGTACTTACAGTACCAGCAGCCCGGACAAAAAGACTGAAAAACTCTTTCTTACACAGGGCAATATGCCTGTACAACGAGTCTTTGCAGTAATGACTTTCAAGACTCTCTGGACTTTACTTCAGTGCCCATGTGTGGCTTTGTTATGTGTTTGTTTGCGTGTCTGTATATGTATTGAAATGTTTATTTGTATTTGTATTTACTATGTACAAACTTGTAAAAAAATCAGTGTTATCCAGCTTGGTTGTGCACTGGCTGCAAGGCTGATTTCATTAATAAAACTTGAAACTTGAAGCCAGTTGGCTAACTTTTTCACAAATTAGACAGGTCGTAAAAAAGATTCCATGCATAATCATTTTCACGGTTCATGAAATTGTTTTATCTGTCAAAACTTATTTTCTCAACATTCAACTTCTTTTTTAATTTTCAACTGCTTTGATCAAAGAATTATCTCCTTTGCATGAGTATCATGGAAATACCACGGTCATGTCATGTGGTAGTATCAGCCAACGGTGACTTTGATGATGAGGACACCAATTATCTTGATAATTTGATGATTTATGATTGCTTCCAGAAACCTGATGACTTATGATGAAATTTGATATGTCAAATCATCATCAAAAGTCATTTCCTCATTTTAATCGAATGACTGCATGCATCGATTTGGAAAAAACACTTTTTTTCCAAATTTTTTGGCGATTGCATTTGTAAAAAAACGTCCAAATATAAACGTCTTTACTGGTTAAGCAAATATTACGGTAGCTTAGATCATGATAAAATTAATCATAAAAATGATATACGTAGTCAAAATCTCATTTTTATATCAGTAATTTGTTAAGAATTGATTACTTTCCTCTGAAATTAAATACTACATCTCAATTGATCACGAGCTATCTCGAAGAGCACTTTTTCATCATACATGAACTTGGAGTTAGATAAGTTCACTATGGAATTATACTTTTTAAGTAGTACGTTGTAGTTATAGTGGATCTATGTTACAACGCTAATAACTAGCTAGGCTCGTAAAGCCTATATTCAATCATATATCTAACAATGTAATCCCATCGAAATTATGAATGTATCCAAACACAGATGGATTTCATATGAAGCTATCATTGGCGTTTCTGGCTGGAAGCCAAACCAGCAGGACATGTATCACTGACTCGTCTTTTTTTTTCAAGTATGTCACTGGATTTATCTTGAATTAGTGGTCTACTGTGCAAGGGATCGACTTATTTTTCATCAAGGTGGATAATTTGCGAAGAAAGGTAATTTTTTAGAATATTCGCATTGAGTCCACGAGTAAACGGGAAAACTTTCTCAATTCCTACCTGGTTTTGTTACGTCAAGGAGGTTATATAACCTCTTTGGTTATGTAATGCAATTCTCCTTGAAGATAGAGGAATGATACAGCTCAGTGCAGCGGAGAAAGATATGGAAGCTTTCACGTCCATAGTTTTTTTTACGACCTTTGACGGGAAGTCTACTCCATGGCACGGGATCTATAGCATAGACCAAAGGTTGAATGGCCACTGCTCACGCACTGTTCACGTGAAGCAAGCGTGATCACTCACGGAACAGTATTCTATCTGCCCTGGTCGTGCGGACAGCCATGTTGTAATGGATGTACGAAACTGCCTAATGACCAGCACCATTCCTTGGGGAACCTCCCCTTGTATCAGATTCTGTCACAATGATGTATATTTATAGCATCGTCACGCACTCAAGGCATTGCTCTGATTGATAGTCGCCGTTTTCACCGAAGAGGTGGACACTATAGCAAAGAGCAGCAAACACAGTTGATGTTTTGTATGACCTTTTCCCTCCTTCAGAATCCAACTGGACTTAATGAGTTTATAGTTTATGAGACATTTTGTACGTTATGATATATTTTGACGTTACAATGGACATGCTAAAGATCGAAATTTAAACCTGTGATTTTATGACCTTTTGAATCATGCGGGTCGTAAAACTGCCAACATAAATCGAAGTTGATTGGTCACCACACGAATGCTTCAAATGACGTAGATGTAGTTGCCCAATGCGTTCAAAAAGGCTAAAGATAAGGCCTAACAATCTTACAACTTGTCAAGAATGTCCTCAAGTAGTTGATCTTCCTTTGGATCTATACCACAAGTAATGTTATGTACAATGTGACGGCTGCTCCCAAAATGTATTTTAGGTTAGATCGTAATTACATCTGAAAGAGCAAATTGGTTGTGAATGGGAGTGTTAAAAAATACATTCTGTTTAGATGACTCAATCAATTAGATCGTCTTGTTTTATCGATTATTGTCAGTATCTGTTCCATCTGGTAACACATCATCGCGTGTGAGTGAGTGAGTGATTAGCAAGGAACATTTGTCTTATCACACATCTACAGGCCCGTATCTTACAAACCTTCGGCTAAAATCTCCCGATTTTTCACATGACATTACTGTGGCAGCCACAGAAGGTCAAGGTGAAAGAAGTTGAGGGAGACCTGGAATGAACTTCATTGACAAACTCGAACAGACACCAGCCTGAAGTACATAAAATCCAGTCTCTGATGGAGGATGCGATGGAGGAGTGAAGTGGAGGATGCTTTCAAGTTTGGTACATGGTAAGACCGATAGTAAGTAAAGTAAATGAAAAACTGAGTATGAAATTATTACATTTTTAATGAATATTTACCACATTTGTGGAAGGATTGACATAACAGGTGAGTATCACCTCTTCAAAGATGTCAACCCCGAGACCAGACTGTAAGATTTGAACCACTCACACCGGGAAGGTCCCCTACTCTTTTCGTGCGGTGAGTTCTTTAACGTGCGTGGGGCGTGGCTCTCCCCAAACACGGGACCTCCATTTAACGTCCTATCCGAGGGACGTCCCTAACCGAAGCTAGGTACTCATTTTGTGAAGTGAGGAAAGTCGTGTAAAGTGCCTTTCCCAAGGGCACAAGATCGATGACAAGGTGGGGTTCGAACCCACGACCGTGAGCCGAACGCGCTACCGATTGCGTCACATGGCCCCCCATTTTGTCATTGTTCTATAGGCCTTGGTGAATACGGTCTTCTGTATCAAACACTGTGGCAAAGCCCCCCCCTCCCCTTTATCCGAAGTTCAAGCCTACACCATTATTCCCACCAAGGTTATAACCTCACACAAGGTCAAAGTTAGTAGCAAAGTCACTTATCTCCGGGTAATCAATGTGACAAGGCATGGAGAATGGCCACTTAGCCGGGCAGCCATGATGTACAACGCCGCGTATTCTACAGACATTTCTGCCCGCACCATCGCTCACTCCGCTTGATACCCGTTCTCTGGCGTCATACGAGGAACGTGCTTTATCATAAAGTATGTTACACCAGACTACATTGTAGCAAATGCCCTCCGTCCGTTCTGAATAGAAACCTTTTTTATCCAAAGAGCATCCGCGTTGCTAATGGAGGATCAGCCCACAACATCCTGGACGTCAACTTTGCGACGATGTCATCTACTGATACATGTTCTACCTCTAATACTTGGCAATGCTTGGCACTGAAATATAATGGGCTTTTGAAAATAGATCTCACAAAAAGTCGTAAAAATCTATAGTACCACTTTTATGGTACGACGTGCAATTTGTTCAAGACTCTAGGGCTAGATATTCAACATGGTGCTATATTGTTGCAAGTTTATGATCTGTGTTGCCAGTGGTGTTAGCGGTGCACCCGCAATGAATGTCCCTTCGAAACTACATTTCCTGCCAGAATCTGCGTGTAAAGGACCGGCTGATTATCTGACGTGACATCTTGCTTCACAGTAGAAATGCCCTCGTGCAGTTGTTCATGTCGACATGGCGCATGCGTTAACGCAAAGGCATCTGGGTAGGACTAAGATGTCTACATCTGCGAACAAGTTGATCATGTAGGTGCCAAAGACTTACAAGACATATGAAAAATACAAAATTTGCTTTCTAGTTGCACTAAGATGAATGTAATTCACCGTCTAAAGTTTACTTCTTAGTGGATTACATTGTAGATTCTAGTCACCTTTTTTCATTCCCAGGATGCATTGCGCCATGGAGGTAAAATCTCCCAGGTTGCATAGCGCAGATGTTGTAGTATTTATAAACATCAAGGGGGTAACCTTTATTATAAATATATGATTAGACTCTGTCATCAACGAATGTTATCAATCATCAATCAATCATCAATCAATCATTAATCAATACATCACCACGGGAACACATAATTCCGACCACCTGGCGCTATGCAACCAGGGAATTGCCCCCCCTCCCCTTCGGCGCTATGCATTCTGGGTGAACGAAGAAGTCCGCACCTGATCAAATCCAAGATGGCGTCTAGTGTGGAGACCTGCTGCACGGGCACGTCCCCCGCGATGTCCTGCGCGCTCCTGCCCTTCTTCAGCTCGGGGTCTCCGGGATGAATGCTGACCACCAGGATGATGCCGATGATGGCGGCGATGATGGTGGTGGAGAAGTAGTACAGCATGGCCTTGGAGCCCATCTTCCCGCTCGCCTTGGCATCCAGGCCGGCTAGACCTGGTGTGGCACAAGTGTAGAATGGAAGGGTAAGCAGGTTGCTGTAACGTTTGAATAGATTGTCATATTGTCCTGTACGCTGGATAGAATGAGTGGAAGAATGGGATCGAAAGCGGGGAATGAGAGTTACCTAATAAAAACCTAATACACACGCAAATTACGAAACAACTTATGCTAGCCTGAGGACGACACCAACTGCACAGACACAATAAAGTTCCATCTTCTTCGCCTTCTACTTTATGTGCGCATATTTTTCTTTGTAGATCTATTCATTGATGAAAAGAGCAGGTTGTGTTAGAGGAAATGGAATAATCCTTTGATCTGTTTTCTAGTACCATGTAGGTAGATAGGAGATAAACACTTGAAATTTAAATTTTAACAAAAGTGCACCAGAAAAGCTGCAACTGTGTTGGTTGGTGTTACACAGCACATCAACAGAACGTACTGCACTTGTGCGATACCCAAGTGTATTGTGTATAGCACTTCGGCAGAACATATCGTCTGCAATGGGCACCCGAACATCCCACAAAATCGGTGAAAAATTCTGTTGTCGGACAGGCGCAGTCCGTTCTGCCGACGTTCTGTCGCCCCCCCCCCCCCCCAGCCCAAACGCCCGCCATGTTGCCGTTGATGGGAATGTTATGGCCTGTTCAGTCACTTTGTCATTGACAGAAAATTACAATCTGATTACACCATGCAGACCTATATATGACTCTTATCAGCTCCGTGACCAAATTACATGCCAGCATTGATTTTCCCATCTACACTTGCAGTGTTGAGCCAAGCGTCGAGCCTGAAGGCAGTTAACACATGCGGGGAGATTGGTCCTGTCAATGAGACAGGCAGGATGAAGGCAACGACGTGTGGAACTAATCTGGGACCTTAATGTCTGTCTGCAGGAGCGAGTATCAAAGCAGCGGAAGCCGTGAGAGCTGTCGCGGATAACAAATAATGAATTAGTTCCAAGTCTGCCCAACTCTCGGCGCTTTTTGATTGTTCTGCTATGAGGTTCTGGTGGTGACAAAATGGATTGCGGTGTCATCCAGATTTTCACGCGACCCGGTATGGGCAGACAGCTCCTGGCTTTTACTTCTCGAGCTCGCTGAGTCAACAGATTCTGCCAAAGTTCTGTCAAAGTTGCTGCTTTAACTGTACAAATCACTTGATTATTGTTGTTTTTTGCGTATGCGGCATAAAAAAAGTTTTAACTTGGGTTTTTGTCATATTGTTCGTGTCATTTGTTTAATGCTAATAAAAACTTTGAAAATCATCCAAATAAACAATCAGCTTTCCTTTGGCAACCCTTGAATGTCCTTTGCACAAATGACGGTCATTGTGACGTGAAATAGATATGATTGGCTCTTGAGATAGCTGCATTTTATCACACATTATTTTCTCGTGCACTCATAAAAAGCTCTTCGCTACAAGGCATAAACACATCAAACTTGATAACCCGCTTTATTCATCTGTAGCTTCGTGTTTTACGCGTTATTTATTTTTCATGGTCTTCCATTAAGATCTAGGTCACACAATTCGCTGTATATAGACCGCAACAACTCAATTGCTCCGAACCAACGCACCAAGTATTCTGTAGTAAACAAATTGATGCTGGTCTCAACGGTTCTCCAGCTATTTTCACTCATCTAGTTGGCAGAATTTTGAAATTACTTTTGGATAGGGTTATGCGAATCGGCGACGATTGGGGAATCGCTCGTTTCCTCTGCAAATTACAATGTTATCACCTCTGGGAAGTAAGAACGGGAGGTGGCAAATTGAAGTTATTCTTCTGAGTCAGGAGGTTAAAATAAATCAATGTATACAAAGTACGTTTTCCCTTTCCGTTATAATAAGTCTTATATAGCAAAATTTCCATGCTTCTTGTACTTAGAACATGCTTATCCTAGGGAAAGAAATCTATGATTGGTGAAAGTAGTAGATGAAATATAATTGATGAAGAGAAGATACGCCAAAAAACAGTTACTCAAGCAACTGGATATGATTTTGGAAACGTCAGATGTTTCAGGTAGCATCTACTACCTTTCGTCATTGACACATCGCCAATAACTATTGACTGATTTGTTGTTGAAGTTTAGACATCCAGGTAAACAATACTCATAGGAAATTCAAACTCTACTACTGGATAGATAGACGTTTCGAGTGACATCCACCACTCTTCTTCAGCGTCACTAATGAAATAACAGTGTGGTGAATGTCTCTCGAAATGTCCGGAAATTATGTCCGTAATTTATTGAGAAGTAGAGTTTGAATTTCCTATGAGTGTTGACGGATTTATAATTGTGACTGATTTATACATAATTGTTGTCTCACCGGTGATTAAACTAGAGACAATGAGTGGCAGGATCAGCATCTTCAAGCACCTCATGAGGATATCTCCGGGGAAACCGATCAGCATTATCGTGGCGTCACTCGGCTCGGCCAGGCGCAGCAGAAACCCCAAGAGAACCCCCAGCACCACCCCGAGAATCGTCAGCACCAGGAGCAAGTTGTGCGGGTTTTTGACCCACGCCCAGACGGCCATGTACCAGGGCCGGGGCGGGCCGGAGGCGCAGTCGGTCTCCATGTTCTCAACCTCCGAGTACGGAGGGCACTCGGCGTCTTTCGGGCTGGCGGCCTCGATCGCGTCCATGGCGTCCTTCTCTGTCATCACGTCTGCCTCTTCTCTGTCTCTTCTGACTCAACCTGCAGCGACGGGAAACATCAGGGACGTTATACCACACCCATCATGTGATAGATATTCTTGGAATGCTTCGGTTCATAGACATACAAAAGAATACAGTATATACATGCGTGATCGATACATATGAAATGCAATCGTACATCAAATGTGACTTTGTAAATAAATCATTGACATAAGGATGATTATGTTTTGGAATAATGCTTCAAGTGTCATAAACTAACGTTGATTGAGAAGAACGCCTTTAGCAGTAAGAGAGCCAAGCAATATTTTCAATAACTGTAAGAATTGCCGAACTTAAAACAATCGTCACGAAGATACGTGATAATCAAAAGACACAGGCATTTAAAATAAGCCACACAGCTTATGGAAATAAAGCATCCATCTTTGTCGTGACTGTTAAGAATCGCATGGAAGTTTGTAGAATCATAGGACACGCCAATATATCAACGGTTTGCTATAAAGATCTATAACGAATGAGTAAGGTGCAGCTACTATAGAGAAAGGCCATTTGATCTACAGCCAATGACACACCCTTTCAATCGCATTGTTATTTTATGGGAGGAAGATAGCATATACCTGGTATGGGCCAGTCAGGCTATCGGAATAAAATGAATTTCTATTTGAATAAAAAGTAGACTCCCTCCAGCAGATAGTCTACTACACAACATGAATAAAACCGTGTAAAGCTTATTACAGTTGTATTTTATGCGGTGGACACCCTCTGTACTGCCTCTGTAGTTATCGCAGCCCTTACAACTGGTGCTTGATATAGAACCTGCCTACGGGTGGCGAGAGGCTGCTTTAATAACCACCGTACCTGATAAGACCTAAATCCACTGCTCGTGACCCATTAAGCTTCTCCCAACACCTTTTCCTACTAATAATAGATCCATCTTGCTGTATCATACTCCATCAACTGACACCGAAAAAAGATAGACCAGGACGATAAGCATAGAAAAGTGGAGAACCATGTTGCGGCTGCCATTGTAGTAGCGAACAAGTATAAAGCTCTAGGAACATGTATGGTCAAAACTTCCTCTTTGAAAGATGATCATGTTCTTTTTAGTTCCCGTTTCGTAATGCTAACGTACTTTCGAAGTCAAGAAGTCATTGTGAAAGAATATTAGGCAACAAAAAATGGCCAGGTCATCTAGGGTAAAGCACCCGATGAGTTTATAGTAGTTACTGGGTAACGGTGTTCACCGTTAGTCAGTAATTACTGGGCTGAAATGTCCTCCCCGCATCCTGAGAGAAACGCTGGTAACAATTTTACTGTCGACAAGATGGTAAATTAATAAAGCGTTGCACGGTGTGATATGAGACGATGATTGAATCAAAGAGAATTATGATGTGAATTATGGGAGTAATTATCCGTGATGAGGATATGCATCATTACACTTGGCCTTGGTTGGGATTTACGGCTATTACAGAGGCAAAATGATTGATGACATGCTTCCGTTTTATCCTTGAAGCTGGTTTATCACGCAGGTATAATTCACATGGAGGCCTCAGAAGTTCTTGATCCATAGGATTCAAATGTGTAGAATAAGGTAAGGTAAAAAGTGTAGCAGATAGAAATACAAGTTTCTGTTTTGTATCATGATAACAAGTTGACGGTTATTTTGTGAGTCTCTGTATAAGGCTTATATATATCTGTGACGTAGTTTTGGTTAAAGATAACACTTTCTCCCTATCGACCTTCAAAAGTCATTGAAAAATCAAGATGGCGGCCATAAATGTGATAAGGACGAATCGTGCCTGCCAATCTCAATTAAGATCTGATAGAATGTAAAATGAACAAAGGTATTACAGATGTGTCTCCGGTGTATAGAAAGAAATTTGGCTACAAATCAAGAGGGTTGAAATTGAACTTTATGCCAGAAACCACATTGTTTCAAAAGTTGGGTCTTGGACAGTAACATTTGGAATAAGTGTCAGAACGTTCGGTCTCGTTAAACGGTCTAAGAAAATTTTAGGACTAATTTTCCCTGCTCAAAGTATCAGCTTTCATTATCATGGTGCAATGAATTTCATTTTTTCACCAACGGTCGTTTATTTCCTACGTGGCCTGCCCCCATGAGCCAATAATAATCCGTTAAACAACGTCCCTTGCCACATAATATACTCAAGATACGCCCGATGTGCCCATCGATTGGGAAATAATGACAAAATTGATATCCTGTTAAGAGAGATGACCTAATTAGCCCCGGCTCTTGTCAGCGGCGATGATGATTACATGATGTATTGGAATCTAAACGACGCTTCCCTGGAGACCCGGATGTAAGGGTAAGCTTGGCCCGTTGCCAACACTCTTCCATTCGGCTTTATAATCACTACATGCGGGTATCACTTACGCACGGTAGGGAAAATATACAGTGGATAGGACTCAATTGATTTCTTGTGGGATGCTGAGGGGAACAAATGTCGGCTGACGTTTCAAGTACACAAATTGACCCAACTGTATACCGTATAGATAGCATTTGTGAGCAAGTGTGAAAACTATGTCGCTTCTACATTTAATAACTTCTTTTCAAATGTTACTGGGAGAAATAGTGTATCAATTCTTCGAGTAACGCGCTGAATGGAGCAAAATCATGCAAAAACAAAGCAAAAATTCATTTTTGAAATTTCCAATTGCAAAAGTTACCAAATATGTTTCGTATCTTTATACATTATTTCTTACAAATTTATTTATCAAAATTCTTCACTAATTTGTTAACTTCATGTGCGTATAGGAAAGTCCGCATCGTCTTTTACAAGCTCTCACTTCAAAAACAAGCACATCGTTAAAAATAATTGAACTTTATTCAATAAACCATATAAAACAACATAATAAACCATACATTGCCCACATGTCACATAAAAACAAAGTTCAATGAAATCCAAAGTACTGCATCCCCGATTGCCTTCCTGTCCGTGATTCATTGATTGGATTACCGGGCTTTCCCCGGGATCTCCCCGGGACTTCTGGAATAGGCCAGCCGAGGCGCAGGATTACGAGCTTTGGACGGAATTGCCTTTAGTCAGAAATTGATGAACGGTTTGGAAACACACGGGTAATTTTCAGCCTGTTGAATTTCGGAGTAAAACTGAATGACTGCAGCCGGCAGCAGCGATATGGAAATATATTGAGGTGACTTTTAGGGCTTCAATAATGCAATTATGCTTTTATTATTAGCCATCCGTTCTAGACCGGTTCCTAATGACATATAAAATGTGTGATGAATGAATCTCAAAGAAGCCACGTGACAAGATCACTGGGTCAGCCTACTGAGGAAGACTAGAATGACTGGCCGAAAGCTCTTCGTGAGAGAACTTCTTTATGTTGGATTTAAAGTTCTAACTTTAAACTTGTAACTGCAAACACAGAGGAACCTTCATGATAGTATAAGAAGTGGTAAAGTCATTAGTAAAGAGTACTTTGAATCTCCTGAGAAGCATATTTTGCCTACTGGCTGAATTTTTTTCTAAATTCTTAACAATTCCTGATCGTCCTTTATTAATATGTAGCGGCAAGTAGTTAGATAAAGGCAAATGGCCAGCACAACTATAAAAAAACAGGATGGCTCAGCATAAAGTAAAGACTAACAATCATGCGGAACATTCACTGTTCTTGAGATGGTGCACTGGCCATTAGCAATATTCTTTGGAAACACTGATCGTCCTATATTAATATGTACCGGCAAATAGTTAGATAAAGGCAAATGACCAGCACAAAGTATAAAGCATAAGCATAAAGTAAAGAATAACAATCATGTGGAACATTCACTTTCCTTGAGATGTTGCATTGGCCATAAGCAATATTCTGTGGAAAAGCCCATCCCTCTGTACGATCCTTTTATGCTGTCATATGGGGGATTTCCAGTCAAGATGGATGATAAATTATTCTGTACGTTCTTCTCTCAAGGGACAATGGTGACAAAGGCTGCACTTTCTCAAAGGCAGTTCTCTAAGTCTTCAATGGTTCCCTTGTGACTGTAGGATCAAGTTGTACATTGCCTCAATCTTCGACATAATGTGAAGTGTTACAGCGAGGAGAGCACTACATTGGATGTCAATAGCAAGTTAATGGCAAAGGCTGCTGAAAAGATGGGCTACTTTAGGTCTGAGACAACCATTTTTGCTCCTTGAAATGGTGACAAACTGAACTCGGGGACCAGATTCCATTGTTTAGTATCACATCAACTAGCGCGGGTAATATCCAGGACAACCCCGGTGAAGAGCTTCAATCTTCATATTCGTAAGGTACACCATCAAAAGTCACTGTTATGGCTGAATGGAACTCTATATGCCTGCAATAACAGAGTCAGTACAAAGTAGAGTGGACTCATTCTTCAGCTAACCGACATCTATTACACCACAGTCGTCCCTCAGTAAGACATCGGGAGCCGCATATTTTAGTTCCCGTTTAGAACTTTTTTTCAGCCTGTACCCTGTTGGCTTCTTCAAGTGTACAGCGGCTAGCTAAATGACACAAGCTCGCGAAGCTCTCAAAGTGAGAGTCTCACTTTTGTATCTTTGTAGTGCATATCGCCCTGGTAATAAGATACCATACAGGTCGTAGTTCTCAAAGTGCAATAACATAGTTAGATGTTCCAGGAGCTCCTATTGGTATAACGTCATTGGATGCACTGTGATTGTACCTGCTGAACTGAAAACATTGGTGAACCACAAGACTCAGAATCTGAGACGTCGCTTGTTCTTGCCATCAAAATATCAAACGCTGTTTTCCTGACTGCAAAAGACACATTCCTTTGGTAGATAGAGTTTACCAATCACGGCATCTCAGCAGTTGCCTACGGTACGGATCCATATCCAATGGCAATCTACAGCTTCAAACGTATCTCAGCCATCACAATAACAAAGTGCTTCGTAATATCGGGACATTTTCAGGGATGATGAAAAATGTGTACGTCTTTTCAATGTGTTTTTTCTATGATTTGTTGACACATTTCTATGTGCTGATGGGCCACCCTTTCACGCTTACATACACTTCGGCAAC